GTGATTGAGAGAGAGAGAGAGAGAGAGAGAGAGAGAGAGAGAGAGAGGAACCTCGTATGGCGGTGCGCTCATGCCACATTACCCCTCACGTCAATAAGCAAGCAGAGATTCACTAACGGGAGGCCAGAAAAAGACCAAAAAAAAGAAAAAAAAGGGTGCATGGAGAATACAAATCATGATGTTTTTTGTTAAAACCCCTCTCCGTCACCCCCCCCCCCTTCCCCCCGAGGAGGGGCAGATACAACCCTCGACATTACCGGGGCAATGTCCCACTACGGTAGCAGAGAGGATTGGATTCAACGCCTGTATCTGGAGCTGTTTGCGGCGACGTGCAGGAAATCGTGATTGATCTGCTTATCTGCATCTCTGCTTAAAACCCATCCAAATTCAGGGGCTTAATCCAATCCTCTTAGCAAGTGGGACCTTCGCCCTCGGGGGCAAGGCGAAATTCCACTTACGTAGATTCTTTCAGCTCTATCAATTGATTTTTCCTTTTTTTCTTTTTTTTTTGTTCTTTTTTTTTTTTTTGCCGTTGGTTTTCCCTTTCCTAAGGGAAAATTGTTGAAATACCCCTAAAACTTTGGGTATCTCGTTACATACCCCTAAAACACAGCGATACGCTGAAAATGCCCCAAACTTCTGCATCTGCCACTGTCCCCCTCATTGGCAATTTTGCCATATGCCCTGGCCCTGGGCTGCAAGGCCCCGTGCATTTCTTTTGCAATCTGCAGGGTCCAACGGGCCCAAATTCCGGGGCATATAGACAATTTAACCAGGGCCCGGTAGGGGTATTTGCGAAAGATGACGGTCCAATTGGCGAGTGGGGTATTTAGCAAAGCTTCACCACTGTCGTAGCGGCATTTCGTCCTACCCATCCATTCTAGGGGTATCTGACGAATTACCCGAACTTTCAGGGGCATTTCAACAATTTCCCTATTCCTAATTAATGATCTCAAAAAAATAGGGAAAAAAAAGGTCCTGGTACGTGGGACGCCGCCCACGTAGTCTTTCAATTTTTTTATTTTTTTATTTTTTTTTGGGGGGGGGGGAAATGCATTCTTTTCCTTTTTTTTCTTTGTTTTTTTTTTCTTTGTTTTTTTTTTCTTTTTTTGACAGCCAGGTACGAGAAACAGTTTAAACGTGGGACGCCGCCCACGTAGTCTTTCAATTTTTATTTTTTTATTTTTTGGGGGGGGATGCATTCTTTTTTCTTTCTTCAATTTTTATTTTTTATTTTTTTGGGGTGGGATGCATTCTTTTTTTTTTTTTCTCAACTGTATTTTTTTTGACAGCGAGGTACGAAAAACAGTATAAACACAAAAAAAAACAAATAATTTAAGAAATTGAAAAAAAATGCAAAAAATAAATAAATACCGACAAGGAAGAGAGCGGAACGAGAAGCAAGCGTATGGCGCTGGGGAGGAGGAGGAGGAGGAGGAGGAGGGGGAGGAGGAGGGGGAGGAGGAAAGGGAGGAGGAGGAGAGGGAAGGGGAGGAAGAAGAAGAGACGGAAGAATGGTGAACCATTACAATATTAAAAAAAAAGAAAAAGGAAAAAAGGAAAATGAGGGAAAAAAGAACAAGTGTGCACGGCCTTAGTGTCTGCTACCCCCCCCCCCCCCCCCCC